CCAAGACCCCGAAACGCATCGTCCTGGACACGCCTCCTCCTGCCCTTCCCCCGGACGCGTTGAGCTTGGAGTTGGAGAAGCTGGAGTTGGCCTATCCTACGTCTCGGCAGGTGAGGTTCTATTATCAATCGGCATCCAGTGTATTTCGGGAGGTCAGAACCTTCGCAGTGCCCGCGATGACCCTTCTCCTCTTTACAGAAGCCGGCTCCGGCGACCGGCCCGGTGAAGCCGCAGTCTTTGCCGACCACAACCCAACAGAAGAGAGAAGAGCCGGCGCCAGGCAAACAGAACGGGTACAATGGAAGGTCGGAGGGCACAGGTAGGTACCCCTCGGTCAGTCATGGTCACCCCAATGCAGGCACAACCTACAGAGGTAGAAGATAAATCCCCAATATACTCCATAAGTCCCATCCCCCGTCCTGTGTCATCTGTAGAGTCCACGTACACCGGATGTTCTAGACGTGTTGTCACCCCCTGTCCTTTGCTTTCCCAGTAGAGACGTGCGCGTTCTGTCACAAGGCCATCCTGCCCAGCACCGCCACCATCGAGGCCATGAAGAAGCACTACCATGCCGGCTGCTTCACCTGCCGCAAGTGTCACCGACTCCTGGCCGGGCAGATGTACTACCAGAAAGATGGACAGCCCATCTGTGAGCATTGCCATAAGGTAAGAGGGGCCGGTGTGTGGAGAAGGCCATAGAGAGGGACTGGAGCTCTGTACTAGATCATAGAGAGGGACTGGTGCTCTGTACTAGATCATAGAGAGGGACTGGGGCTCTGTACTAGACCATAGAGAGGGACTGGGGCTCTGTACTAGACCATAGAGAGGGACTGGGGCTCTGTACTAGACCATAGAGAGGGACTGGGGCTCTGTACTAGACCATAGAGAGGGACTGGGGCTCTGTACTAGACCATAGAGAGGGACTGGGGCTCTGTACTAGACCATAGAGAGGGACTGGGGCTCTGTACTAGACCATAGAGAGGGACTGGGGCTCTGTACTAGACCATAGAGAGGGACTGGGGCTCTGTACTAGACCATAGAGAGGGACTGGGGCTCTGTACTAGACCATAGAGAGGGACTGGGGCTCTGTACTAGACCATAGAGAGGGACTGGGGCTCTGTACTAGACCATAGAGAGGGACTGGGGCTCTGTACTAGACCATAGAGAGGGACTGGGGCTCTGTACTAGACCATAGAGAGGGACTGGGGCTCTGTACTAGACCATAGAGAGGGACTGGGGCTCTGTACTAGACCATAGAGAGGGACTGGGGCTCTGTACTAGACCATAGAGAGGGACTGGGGCTCTGTACTAGACCATAGAGAGGGACTGGGGCTCTGTACTAGACCATAGAGAGGGACTGGGGCTCTGTACTAGACCATAGAGAGGGACTGGGGCTCTGTACTAGACCATAGAGAGGGACTGGGGCTCTGTACTAGACCATAGAGAGGGACTGGGGCTCTGTACTAGACCATAGAGAGGGACTGGGGCTCTGTACTAGACCATAGAGAGGGACTGGGGCTCTGTACTAGACCATAGAGAGGGACTGGGGCTCTGTACTAGACCATAGAGAGGGACTGGGGCTCTGTACTAGACCATAGAGAGGGACTGGGGCTCTGTACTAGACCATAGAGAGGGACTGGGGCTCTGTACTAGACCATAGAGAGGGACTGGGGCTCTGTACTAGACCATAGAGAGGGACTGGGGCTCTGTACTAGACCATAGAGAGGGACTGGGGCTCTGTACTAGACCATAGAGAGGGACTGGGGCTCTGTACTAGACCATAGAGAGGGACTGGGGCTCTGTACTAGACCATAGAGAGGGACTGGGGCTCTGTACTAGACCATAGAGAGGGACTGGGGCTCTGTACTAGACCATAGAGAGGGACTGGGGCTCTGTACTAGACCATAGAGAGGGACTGGGGCTCTGTACTAGACCATAGAGAGGGACTGGGGCTCTGTACTAGACCATAGAGAGGGACTGGGGCTCTGTACTAGACCATAGAGAGGGACTGGGGCTCTGTACTAGACCATAGAGAGGGACTGGGGCTCTGTACTAGACCATAGAGAGGGACTGGGGCTCTGTACTAGACCATAGAGAGGGACTGGGGCTCTGTACTAGACCATAGAGAGGGACTGGGGCTCTGTACTAGACCATAGAGAGGGACTGGGGCTCTGTACTAGACCATAGAGAGGGACTGGGGCTCTGTACTAGACCATAGAGAGGGACTGGGGCTCTGTACTAGACCATAGAGAGGGACTGGGGCTCTGTACTAGACCATAGAGAGGGACTGGGGCTCTGTACTAGACCATAGAGAGGGACTGGGGCTCTGTACTAGACCATAGAGAGGGACTGGGGCTCTGTACTAGACCATAGAGAGGGACTGGGGCTCTGTACTAGACCATAGAGAGGGACTGGGGCTCTGTACTAGACCATAGAGAGGGACTGGGGCTCTGTACTAGACCATAGAGAGGGACTGGGGCTCTGTACTAGACCATAGAGAGGGACTGGGGCTCTGTACTAGACCATAGAGAGGGACTGGGGCTCTGTACTAGACCATAGAGAGGGACTGGGGCTCTGTACTAGACCATAGAGAGGGACTGGGGCTCTGTACTAGACCATAGAGAGGGACTGGGGCTCTGTACTAGACCATAGAGAGGGACTGGGGCTCTGTACTAGACCATAGAGAGGGACTGGGGCTCTGTACTAGACCATAGAGAGGGACTGGGGCTCTGTACTAGACCATAGAGAGGGACTGGGGCTCTGTACTAGACCATAGAGAGGGACTGGGGCTCTGTACTAGACCATAGAGAGGGACTGGGGCTCTGTACTAGACCATAGAGAGGGACTGGGGCTCTGTACTAGACCATAGAGAGGGACTGGGGCTCTGTACTAGACCATAGAGAGGGACTGGGGCTCTGTACTAGACCATAGAGAGGGACTGGGGCTCTGTACTAGACCATAGAGAGGGACTGGGGCTCTGTACTAGACCATAGAGAGGGACTGGGGCTCTGTACTAGACCATAGAGAGGGACTGGGGCTCTGTACTAGACCATAGAGAGGGACTGGGGCTCTGTACTAGACCATAGAGAGGGACTGGGGCTCTGTACTAGACCATAGAGAGGGACTGGGGCTCTGTACTAGACCATAGAGAGGGACTGGGGCTCTGTACTAGACCATAGAGAGGGACTGGGGCTCTGTACTAGACCATAGAGAGGGACTGGGGCTCTGTACTAGACCATAGAGAGGGACTGGGGCTCTGTACTAGACCATAGAGAGGGACTGGGGCTCTGTACTAGACCATAGAGAGGGACTGGGGCTCTGTACTAGACCATAGAGAGGGACTGGGGCTCTGTACTAGACCATAGAGAGGGACTGGGGCTCTGTACTAGACCATAGAGAGGGACTGGGGCTCTGTACTAGACCATAGAGAGGGACTGGGGCTCTGTACTAGACCATAGAGAGGGACTGGGGCTCTGTACTAGACCATAGAGAGGGACTGGGGCTCTGTACTAGACCATAGAGAGGGACTGGGGCTCTGTACTAGACCATAGAGAGGGACTGGGGCTCTGTACTAGACCATAGAGAGGGACTGGGGCTCTGTACTAGACCATAGAGAGGGACTGGGGCTCTGTACTAGACCATAGAGAGGGACTGGGGCTCTGTACTAGACCATAGAGAGGGACTGGGGCTCTGTACTAGACCATAGAGAGGGACTGGGGCTCTGTACTAGACCATAGAGAGGGACTGGGGCTCTGTACTAGACCATAGAGAGGGACTGGGGCTCTGTACTAGACCATAGAGAGGGACTGGGGCTCTGTACTAGACCATAGAGAGGGACTGGGGCTCTGTACTAGACCATAGAGAGGGACTGGGGCTCTGTACTAGACCATAGAGAGGGACTGGGGCTCTGTACTAGACCATAGAGAGGGACTGGGGCTCTGTACTAGACCATAGAGAGGGACTGGTGCTCTGTACTAGATCATAGAGAGGGACTGGTGCCCCATGCGGTGACCTTGTTGCCCCATGCGGTGACCTTGTTGCCCCATGCGGTGACCTGGCTGCCCCATGCGGTGACCTGGCTGCCCCATGCGGTGACCTGGCTGCCCCATGCGGTGACCTGGCTGCCCCATGCGGTGACCTGGCTGCCCCATGCGGTGACCT